ACACACACACACACACACACACACACACACACACACACACACACACACACACACACACACACACACACACACAACCTGAATTGGTGTTCTGTCAACCCCGGCTGTGGGAGAGCGTGGGTCTATCAAACGACTGACGTGAGTTTTTTTGAGGACTGGTTCTGCTTTTGTTGCAGCTGTCATCTTGCTCTCACTTGATCCCATAATGCTAAAAAAAAAAAAACGAGTCACCTGAATCATGGTTAAACAGAACACAAAGCAGCAGAATACAACTAGTTAAAAATATGCTCCCTGTACAACTAAAGAACATTCAATAATGCAATGTACTGAACTTGCAAATTAAATCCGTACATAACCATACACAGAAATATCAAAGCACTAATGGTATCTACTAGCGCTGCAGAACTTCAAAAAAACCTGTTTGTATTTTCACAAAAAAGCGAATAGCTTAGCATTGTTGATAATGGCTACTAAGCTAACAGGTTAGTTAGTCTAGGTCAAGTCACGTAATTTGAGGTTTCTTTTTTAATACATAAAACTGAAGAAAAGAAATGATAGCTTTAGATTAGTAACCGCTTCCAGACGGTCAGTATGGTTTAGACTTGGATTTTATAACATAAGTTTACGTACCTTGAAAAAGAAAAAGGCAAACAAACAATCGGCTGCGCAGCTTTGACTCCTTTCACTTAATTCGGTGATCGTGATAAACAGAGGACAACCCCGACTTTTAACAGATTTAAATGGCGGCGCTGCCTGCAGGTCTTTTAAAATGAACCAATAGGCGCGAGCTTCCGATACACTTCCTCGTTTCTGATTGGCTAAGTTCTGGAACTGGGCGGGGGATCGCCATGACAACGCATGTGAACGGTTAAGAAAGCCACGCACGCGGTGTTGAAAGTTTCAAAATAAAAGAAACGAGCTGTGAAAGAGAGCCACACCCCGCGTCAGTTAAAATGTGTTTATTCATTTTGAGAAAAACAAAAAAATAAACTTAAGAAATAACGACTGCGACTTGCAAAAGCATAATCTTTTACATGGTCAATTTTATAGCTTTACTAATACAAAATACCTTTCCAAATTAAAAAAGTAGGCATGTCTTTATTTCAAATAAAAACAGTACAGCAATTATTTTCAAGAATGTTTCCTATTTCACGTTCTGCATCTTTACTATGAAACCTTTGTCTGCAAATAGCATTTTTCTAAACCTTATTTTTGTCAATTTTTTATGGTAACAAGGTAGTTTTGTTAAATAAAAAAACAATAAAAATAACTCCCCAGCAGATGTTTGGAATCAAAGCTTTATTGCTGAGTATTACTTTATACATTGTAGCCTGAAAACAACTGTAGTGCATCAATTATGTTACAATACGAAGATTGGCATAAACTTTATTTTGCAGTGGAGCAAATGTTTGTTTAACAAGAACAATGTGAAAAAAAGCAAAAGGGAGAAAAGCCTGGAAAATTATTCTTAATCATCAGGTACCATTTTACCAACAAACACACAACTGAGTCTCACACACTCACACAKTCACACACACTCATTTCATAACAGTAACAGTCCTGCTGGTCATCAGTTCGCTGTCCTGGCAGATTATTGATCACTAAACAATTAAATAAAATACTAAAAAACAAAACTGCAGCACTTTTTATTTGTGTTACTCTCTAGAACTGCTTTTCTTCATGAGCACTTCTTGGTGAAAAGCAGTACTCCTTTAATCATACAGAAAGGCAGTACCTTTAATCCACTAAAATGTACTGATGTKTAACGAGAACAGAGGGAGTGCAGAGTGAGCCGACACAAACCTCACTGACTACTAAAGGATGTACATGATTCTCCRTCTTGTTTACTTTCTTCTTTTAACTTTGCTTCAGTCAAAGTGACATACATCCAATCCAACCTCCTGACCAGAGAGGAGGAAAACATAAGGACTGCCTTATTTTTAAAACAGCAGCATGAATGAAACACTGTCTTCTTCCAGGTGGAAACTAATACTGCATTAGTGCCGATTCAAACATAATCTCATGATGAAGATGACAAGGGTATCACAGTGTCTTCCTCCATCAGTTCTTACAAATCATTACCAGCACTTGCCATACGTCGGTCGTCCAAACATTTCCCTCCCAGCAAAACACATTCACACTCTATGAACTCTCCCCTGGCTGGTCCTCATTCTGCTCCAACGTCGCCCTCTCTGTGGCTRAAATGAGCCAGCAACGTGTCCAAGTCCCGTCGGTCGGCTGCGGAGTACAAAGCGCTCTCTCCCATCATGCTTAGGGCCATGCGTAAAGTGGACCAGATGTTGTCGGACATCACCGTGGCGGCCGCTCCTCCGGGTCCTCTTGCAGCTCTGGACCCGTCGCCTGCAGCCTGGCGCTGGAGAGACAGAGCTTCCAGGAAGTGCTCCACTGCCTCTCTGAGGACAAAACATTATTGGCATTTACAATTTTGCTTCTTACACTGAACAAAAATATAAACAACACTTACTACACACCTTGCACCAAACACACACCTAATGTTTTATTATCATAGCGTTGCAGGAACTGATGTCTGAGAGTCAAGTCACCTGATAGGAGAGGGAACTTCCTTATTTACTATATCAGATATTGATATCATTTCTGGTGGCGTGACTTGACTCAAATACAAAACTCATTGTGAGACRCAGCTTGCAGCCTAAAGAGGTTGTGGTAATCTTTGTATGAGCAAATAAATATTCAAGTCTAAAACTGAATATGTTTTCTGAACATAATTCAGGCTTTCAAATGAACACGTTTCTTTCAGCAATGTATATTTAAAAACAAAGCTGCTGCCTCACCTGTGTGCCCCTAGGTTTACACAGCTAATTCCCAGGTTGTAGCGGCTGCGGACGAAACCCGGCTGCAGCTCCAGAGCTCTCCTGTAGGCGGCCACGGCCTCCTCTGAGCGGCTTCCGTTGGCCAACGTAGCTCCCAGTTTATTCCACAGCAGGTAGTCCTTTAAGAATCACGAGACAAAAAGATTAAAAAGGAATGGTATTTTAAAAATGAATACATTTTAATGTTGATCTTTACGCTAACCTGAGGAGTGACAGACAGAGCAGCACTGAAGCAATCCACCGCCTTGTCGTACTCTCCACTAAGGTTGAAAAGAACCCCCAGACCACACTGCAGCTGGGGGTCCACCTGCGATGGGTCGGAGTTGGCTGCATGTAGGAACAGGTTCTGGACATCATTAAACAAAGATCTGCTCAGGAAAAAAACAAAAGGGCACAAAAACAGAAAGAGTCATTATATCGCAAAGAACTCAATCCAAATCTTTATTTGGATCTAAAATCTCCCGGGTGCATCTTACTCACTCTGGTAACAACGACCCGAACCTCTCCTTTTCTTTTTCCCCGTCTCTGACGGTCTCTTTCTGACGCTCGCTCTCATGCTGCTCCCACACGGACTGGTATTTAGGATTGTGCTTCAGCCAGTCACGTAAAGTCTCACAGGCCTGCCTGTGCAGAGACTCATTAGTGAAGCTGACGGCCAACGCCATCAGGGCGGTCAGGTTGTCCTTCTTCAGCTCTATACACCTAATGAGGAAGAGTGACGAGGAAAAAAGTAAGAAAAAATAACGAAACACTGACAATTGAGAGCTACTGAATATTTAATACAGCACTGTTAGTTTTTTAAACAATAACCTTTGACTAGCTGTTTAAAATCTGCCAGATCGTCACAAATCTTGTTTTACTAAAATTAAAGAAAAACACCATCACCTCAGTTAGCTCAGGTTAAAAAAAAACAAACATACATCTGTTTTAGCTCCTGCTGTTATAAAAGTTTGTATATTTTCAATACAAAAGGGAAGTTTTAGACATTTACTGGTTCTGACCTGCGGAGGGCGCTGATTGCTGCAAATTCCTGCTCATTCTCTGCCTGACATGTACCCAGATATTGCCAAGCCTGAAACAAAATAATAAAAACAACTCAAGGTTTATTTACAAGGTGTAATTTCTTCAGTGTCTGAAATAAATAAAAAAAACAACAAAAATATGCACATTTGCACTATTTAGTTTGTGTTTTATTTTTAAAAAAATTAGCCTGGTTTAAACCAGACCCTGTCCTTCACTTTGCTTCATACAAGGGTCTGGACTTGATGCA